GTTTACAGGGTAGATGCACAATGATAGTTTTGTGCTAGGAAGAATAGCCTTGTGTTAGTTTACTTTAAGGATAAACTGCCTGGTGTCAGTAAGTAAGCATTTTTTTTTAATTTTAGAGCAGAATATTTGCTGGAAGAAAAATTCATCAACCACAATTCTTTTTTTATATTGAATAATCCCTGTCATTCATCATAAAGAACTTACATTTGTCATAGAAACAAATTTGTAAGACATGTTCATAAAAGCATGTTTTTTATCCATCTTTAGATGTTTTCCAGAAAGCAATGGGAATTTGGTTTGACCCTAGATATACTTAAGATTTTATTGAACTTGAGTGATGTAAGGTCAAGCAGTCCAGGTGCAGGAGTAATTAAGTCTTTGTTCATAATTCATGGTTTATGTAATACCACACTATGCTGCCTACCTGGTAAAATGAGTGATCACCCTGCACCTTAGGCAATGTTCTTATTTGAAATGTGTGTCCCAAAAGAAGTTGACAAAAACATGATAATATATAGCAGGGTGTATGTCTGTGGGAAAATGACACCAAAAACTGATGAATCAAGTCTTGGTGAAGGTGGCAGATAAAGTATGGACAAGTCAAACCTTTGGTTTCATTTTAATTCCACAATGTTTTTACTTCACAGCCATTAATGTCTATTGAATGTATGTTAACCTGCTTGTATTTAAATAATCATCTATTTTTTCAGCAAATTAAAGAAATCACATTTGATTTTTTTTCATTTATGCTTCAGTCAGAGCCTTGCCTGCCCTGTGCATATTTAGGTATTGGTTCCCTTTGTTTTCAGGTCATTTGCATTATTACTAATTACAGATTAAAGCCTGTTGAGAATTGTAATGGTGATAACTGTGCAATCATTTTGAAAACCTCTACCTCTTTCATTTATGAGCTAGGAAAATTTCTAACAGTGAAATTAAAAAATGCAAACTATCCCATTTTTTAGTTAATCTCTGTGCATTTTTCAGGCATGTTGAAAGTCTTCACTGGAGCCATGATGTTCTCCCCAGTGCCTGCTACCTGTGTGTAGTCCACCAGCAGACAGTGTCCCTGTGGTATGTGGAGGGACAGGTCCCACAGCTCAGGATTAAACAAGTTAGGAAAATTAATGCTACTCCTTTATCCAAAGGTTAGTATTTGATAATAAAATAAGCCCCCTTTCAGTGAGACTGACGTTCTACACAGTTTTCCCATCACACTATTATTATCATTATGCTTACTAAGCTGTTAGCTGATATTGTTTCTTGTACTAGTTTGTTTATGTCTTGGACATAATTTGTCCATGTTTCTGTCAAGTTATTTGTAGTTTATATTGACTTACTGATAAGGCATCAGGGTTTGGACCAGTGTGTTTTGTAACCAGGGTTCACAGCTTGAACTTAATATACATGTTAAATAGATACAAAAAAATTATTTTTCTCTATGAAAAATAATATAGTGCGTATAAAACTGCATAGTTGTAAACAAAAAGGCAGAGAAACATTAAATATTCAAATTTGTAAGAACAAGGAAGTTGGCATGCAAATTAGTTATATTATTTTGAAGCAAGGAAAATAATTGGATACCTACGAATTTAAGTAAAATTTCATTTGTTTGCCCCTTTGAGATGGAGCTTCTTCAAAATGATAGCCTTATCTTTGACAATGTGCACTTAGAATCATAAAGAGGGCATAATTGCATTATTGCATGAAATTGCTCTTTTATAATATGTTACAAGATGTGACTTCAAAATGTTTGGGTTGTTTTGACATTTACATGATCTATTACTTACTATCCATCTGGTAATTTTTAAGTTTAATATTTGAAAATGAAATGTAAGTCATTGACCAAACCACCTGCTCAACTCATCTCAGTCATTTTTGTCGGTATTTTCAACACTCTTTCTTACCATGCTCTTAGAAGCACATCGTACTAGATGGGGACTTCAACTTTACAGTGGAATAAATATAATATGTGCACTTCTATTCATTTTCATGGGACTGATGCTGGTAGATGGCCGATTGAACATTTAATATGGCTGCATCACATTTCATAAGAAATAGGTCTACTCACATATTGCACTTGTTTCAAAGTCATTAAACCTGAAATAATTTCACTTATGATTTGCCATCTAGGCACTGGATATTTGGGTTTGGTTGGAGTTGTAGACCTGCTTGTCTGCTGCTTCCCTCTTGCATCAAAGCATGATCATGATGATGTTTACCTGTGTAAATGCCACTGATCAAGTTACCTGTATTTTTATTGAGTAATTTGGATTGGTATTTATATGTAGGCTTTGTTTTGAGAGGCGGGGATAAAATGTATGTAAAATGTTAAGGATTTATCAGCAAGTTAAAAAAGAAAATGTTAGAAAATAGTGAAAAAAATGTAAAAATAATGCCTTGGGAGATGTCAGGACATTTACTTCCTGATGTAGATAGCAGCATTAGCGAATGCTCAAACAATAACTTTTCCTGAGAGTACATGGTTGAGACTACAAAGAACCCTTCAGATAGGCAATATTCTCAGGAACTATATTCTGTATAAAGGACTATTTCATTAAATTATATTGCTATTCAGTCAAAAATAAGACACTCATAGTATGAAGCAAAATGTCATTGAATTTTAATGAACAATGTTGGAAAAATTAAAGTTACAAATGGAAGCTCAATATATATATTCTGACAAAATTATATTTATATTTTTGTTGTCATGCAGATTTAATGATGGAATTAACTGATAATATTTTGCAATGAGATATGTGTGAGCAACATTCTGGTTCAGTTATTTGCAGAATAAGCAGTCCTGCATAAAAACAGCGGTATTTCATATTTATTTCAGGTTGTCTTTGGAATCCTGGCCGTGACATCTTGTGCCTTGTCAACAAAACCCAAGTCAGTTTCTACTTCAGACACACAAAAAATAAGGGTAGCTTTGCCCTCCCACCTATTGAAATGTAAGTAAAAGAGAGTCCAATGTATTACTTATAATTAGTCAGTCAGTTGTGTCTCACGATACCATACCTCTTGTGAATTATCCTTGTAAAAGGGCAAAGTTTTAACCTAAAAGAAATCAATTTTACTTAGTTTTAAGGAGTTTCGGTAGTCTTCTATTAGAAAAAATTCCAAAATTAGATGAAATATATAAAGTAAATTAATAAATATAATTTGTATATCAGTTTTATAAATGCCATAATACTTTTATTACTTTTTTATGTATTCTACAGATGATTAAAAGTTTACTTAATTTTTCTAATACCTTAACAGTTTTAACTTTTTTTGTACTATTTATGTTGTATAATATTTTGATTGATTTCTCAACATATTATTGCAGAATGATATAATTTTGTCTCTCACTTTTGATTTATTCAGTGGTAAGATCAGCTGTGGAGCTTGGGCACAAGATGGCAGAAAGATGGTTTTGGCAATGGAGAACACATTACTGGTATGTAGAGTGATAGTACATTATACCTATACCACAGTGAGACAAGAAAAAATACAAGTGACTTCTTGTGAATTTGCCTTCATAATTGTTGCCCAAAAAATGTCAGTGTGTAATTAAAGCACTCGTCATAACTTGTGGTGGTGATTGGGGTATTCTCAATACTCTCGATATTCTTAGAAGCGCTACATGAACTAATGAAAGTTCCGTATGGTCAAACTAGCAAGGAATATTGGTCAGTTGCAAGTAAATATCTATATATGCTATAGTTTTCCATAGTTTTTTTCAGTTATATCAAATCTTAAGTCTAGGTTGACTAAAATAAATAAAATAAAAGTGAATAATAATAAATGATTATGCATTACTGCTAGAGATATTCTTTTTTTTTCATTCCTCAGTGAACATAGGCACAGAATTTTTATATCTTCACATATAATAATGGGTATATAATATTATTGATGTACACAGTGTTTTTATCACTCAGGTGTACAAGTGGAAAGACATAGACAAGTCCATTAACGAGGTGGATGTACTTCACTGGACAGTCCCAGGGTAAGTTGATAAAATTGAATGTTTGTCAAAAAAATATTTATTCCATGAGTGTTCATGGATATGATTGTGCAATGGAACTTGGTTGCAAAATGCTTTAATGTATGCAAGGCTCACCATATTGAATAGAAATTAGTATAATTTTAGTAAAATTTCTTAATGTTTACTTGTTTACAAGAAGTATCTTATGAAAGAAAACCTGATATCACTTGATCATCCACAAATTATTGCATTATTTTGATTTAAAAAACACTCCAATTTTGAATAGACTTAAACTGAGATAAGTAACAATTACACTGACATTACATTCTGGTTCAGAGAGGCTGTTGTGCACATTCCTTTGAACATGTTAATTTTACATTTGTGAAAATCCCCATTTAGCTCTGCATTTTGTATAACAACCAGCTGTTGCTAATGGTGTAATTAGAGTATTTTAACAATATGCACAGATTTTAAACACAGTGGTATCTTTTTATAGCAGCTTTTAGTGTTTAATATAGAATATCATAGGTAACATTGACCTTTTTTGATTCTGTCTAAATCTTTTAATATGATTGCATAAGACTGTATAGAATAGAATACAAATTCAGTTTCCTTGCCCTTTGTTAAATGTCACCTAATCTTGTATTCACAGAAAAAAGGGAACAGATGATCCACATATACACCTATATTTAATAGTGTAAATCATTTCTGAAGATACTTTGTCAGATATGTGATCATTGTGCCTCATGGATAAAAAAAAGTTTTAAGTTTTCCTCATAAAAAATACACTTCACTTTACACTAACTATCCTCAGACAGGATTTGTTTTGATTTAGTAATTTTTTAAATCATATTTAATCAATCCAATGACATTTTTCTTTGCAGACTTGAAGGAACAATTTGTAGCCTGGTGTCATTGACAGCTAGCCATATCGCTTGCACAGCAGAAATCCCCTTGGAGGTAATACTAAAGTCAGGGCCAGCAGACCTGTTCAAGGTACCAGGTGAGTTACCTGGCAGATGTCGTTTAGGTGTCATATAGTTGGGGCTGCTAGTTCAGTGCCTTTAAGCTGTACATGTTAATAGTGCAGTTGTGGCTGTATATGTAGTCACCTCCTGTTGCACTGTCCTTGGTCTCTTTTTTGCTACCGTTGTAATTTGATTACAGATAGTTTGGCCTCAAGCTCACTGGAATTACCTGTATATGTGGAATATATATAGCTAATAAAAGACCTTTGTTGGTTTGACATGAATTTATAGTTTCTAGACAGTTAAATGGATCAACACTTTCTTGTATTTTGATGAATAATTTTTAATATGTGTTAGAATATAAATGTATATGCTGTAACAACTGAGTTTTTTTTTTAAATTTGACACTATGTTTTCAGATGCCCCAAATGAAGTTACCAGTGAATCTTTGACAGATTCTGAAGAAATACTTCAACCAAAATTAAATTCAGATACAAAGACTGCAGATAAGCTATTCTGCTTGGAGACAAATAGCCAAGTATGTTGTTATTGAATAATTGTTTGAAAGAAATGCACAAAACATTGAAATAGCACAGTTTAGATGTTATTTTTATCAGTTTTTGTCCTAATGTGCCAATACATATTTTTTATTTTTAACACATAGCTTTGATTATTATTGCATATCAATTTCAGAAAATCCATGACATATCTCAGCTATTAGTTGTGAGCATTGAATCTCGGACTGGTGAGCCTTTGAGGCTGATGGGAGCTGATCTAAAAGGAGTCTTGTCACCAGACTTGCTGTACTTTGAGGTATTTGAGAATAGGGATTGCTGATTCTGAGAGAATATAAGTTGTTGTAATATAAGGTTGCCTTTAGTTTTATGGCATAAAGTTACACGAAAAAATGTTGTAGAGGAATAGTTTGTGGGATGGAAGACATGCTCTCTGTTGAATTTAGGAAAGGTTTTTTAATTTTTTCTTTTACTTACCAGCCATTATATTTTGCATGGTGCATATGCTGAAGCCCAACTTGTGTTAATTGATTTTTGACAATTCAGTGGCTAATTTCATTGTTTTTGCATTACTTTCATTTGCTTTTTTTTCATCCAGTTTTTCTGCAGGTTAAAGTTTGATTATTTATCAGATGTGTCTGGCACCATACATGAAAAAGTGACTAATTTGAATATAATAGATATGTGTTAGACCCATGCAATGGTTTAAATTGTTATACCAAACAATAATTTGATTCAGTTTCATAATAATATTGATATTTCATAGTAGCAAGGTTACATAACTATATGGTAATGCCATTTGTGTAATTTCAGGGTAGCCAGCAGATGTTGGTGGTAGGTAGCAGTAACCAGGACATTATTCAAATCTACAGTATGGTGGACAAGCAATTGGAGAGAATGCATGCAATAGTAAGTCATTTTTATCACTTGTTTAAGGGGGGTTATGTCTGCCTCCCTTCTGTTATCTAGCTATTCACCCATCTTTTTATGGTACTTTCATGGTACTATTGCCTGGAGTGGAATTTTAATTAAAACTACAACTAATCATTGTTTAACAGAAATACAAATTCAATTTGAAAATTCTACAGCCAAGATGACATAAAACTAGAACACATTTGGTATAGCTTTTCTTGGGATGATTGGGTGGTCCTGATAAGGACCGCATGGTCAACCATGGTGGGGCTATAGAAAAACAGCCAGCCAGTTGAGAAGTATAGTTCTCAGTGCTGTTTGGTGTCTATTGCTCCTTCAAACATAGAGACTGGGTTCGTAGACAGTGGAATACTGAATACATTCATGGCCCTGTCAGTCATGTTCTTGGAGTATCTCAGCAACATCTCTTTGAGGTCTTCCACATAGCTGAGCCTGACGGAGAGCTTCATTACCCAGGCTTGTCTTCTCTTATCTGATGCCCTGCTAATGCTGGCCCTTAGATGTTGGGCGTAGTTGTGCAACCACTGTGCATACACTGTGGCTTTGTGGCACTTGAGGAACGTGGTGTAGGTTGTATCGGCTGTAACAGCATTTCTTATTTCTTGGCAGTAGTTATCCATTCTGTGATATGGTAGTGGCTCTATCTTACAGTCCAATATGATAGCAGTAAGGTGGTGATTCTATATCAGCAAAGGTTTGCAAAGTTGGTGTTGATTCTTCTGCTCAGTATATGTTCTGAACCCTGTCAGGTAGTTGCAGTCTTATATATACCAGGGCCATGAGGTCTGTTAACATTCTGAATTTAATTAACAGTATGACACCTGCCATGTCATTGTTTTCTGTGTCTGTCAAGAAAGTCAAACAAGGTGACACTTCCCAGGTAGTAAACTGCCAGTCACCTGGCAGGCTGTCAGTGTCACCACGTAAGTGCTACCTGTAACTGTTGTCAGGTAGTAAATAGTCCTCTAAGATTCACCAGGTAGTTTCACCAGGTAGGAGGTCATTAATTCATCCATCTGTGCATTTATAATAATGATAATAATCAGCCTTCCTTAATTTAAAATAAATGACAGAGGTGCTAGTAACACACAAGCTCAGCTTGCTATTTAGATATTAATATTTAATTTTGTTTGACATGTGTATAATAATGCTGTGAATATTCACCTGTAATTTAAGATATTGGGTATGCTAGCAAGAGGATTTGTTAAAGAAAGATAAACGAACATGAATGTGCTTTATGTTAAGGCCTAAGCCCCAATAATTGCTGAACATGAGTATCACTTAATACATAAAGCTGAACATTTGGTCTAGCCCTTTGACAAAGTCATATCATTTATTTGGTGACAGTCTCTCTCATTGTATATTGTTAATTAGAAAGTGATATGTAATTAACACTTAATGCACTGGTATGCAATCAAGACTGAGACAGTTATTGACACTGACAAGTTTGCAGCCTCACCTGAGAAATTGAGCTGGCATGTTTGTTTATGCCACACACTGCCACAGTGATCTGAGGTTGATGTATCAACATCTGTGTCAAAGAGGGTTTTTTTTTTAGATTTAGGCTTACTGCACACTTGAGAATAGATGTGATTTAAAACATCACTGTATCTTAAATAAAAAAGATGATTAAATGTTTTTTTTAATGAAAGAGACCCAGTTAATTATTTTATGTCACAAATTTAAAAGAAAGTATTGTTTGAAATGGATCACTTAATTTAAATAAATCTTTTGGAATGTGTATTTTTAGTGATTTTTTATATATATCACATTGTTGTCATTTACTTTATACTGTGGAAGATGTTAATTGTAGATTTAAAAAAAAAACTAAACTTTGATTTTTTACACAATTTTATAGTTTAACTATTTGATAATTACACTGTATCACATTTCAATAATAATAAAAAGATTCGAGATACATTGTTTGAAGGTTATTTCAGTTGATGTTTTTAGAAAAAAAAGCCAACTTCTTTCATTGAAAAGTGAATACCAAAATATTACCTCACTGGAAAGGTAGTCTGTATCTATGATAGAAGATATCTTTTGGGTCCTAGTCTGTATATAAAATAACATTGAAGTGTTATGAGTTACTATATATATATTAAACCAAGGTCATTTTATACGTCCTTGATTAAACAGAAGAAGTGACACAGATTAGAAGTCAGCCGGAGCTTTTTCTAATAAATCTGTGCTTCGTTATATATCTTCCAATTTGAAAAACACATTTACACTCAGTATCATCTTTTTTTACTGCAGAAGCTGAGTCAAGATGAGAGGCCAAAGGGGATATGTGGACTGTCCAGTTCCTTGGCCACAGGGTCTGGCCTCTTAATTATGGTGGCCAAGCTGACCAAAAGTGATCCCACCTTCTTACCGTCCAGTCCATATGCTGAATATGAACTTTCACTGAAGTATATATCTATGCCACAAGGTAATTATTTAGTTTATTTGTTTGGTTGTTTTTTATGTTTATTAATGTGTTGTAGTACAATGTATGAAATATTCTTTTCTGAATATTTTTCATGTGCAGTTACTTGCAGTTACTTACTGAGTTAACAAAATTCAAAAATTGATACATCCAATGGTTTTTCAAATACCTTGCCATCAATAACATGCTTATAGCAAAAAATGGCTAAAAAGCATAAAAGATTTTATTTTGTTTGGCTTTTTTTTTTAACATCCCTTAATTAAGACTATAAAAGCCCTAGAGATTGGTCCATTTTAAATGGGCATAATTGGACTTTTCCTTCAATTTTTGCAGCAGTTTTTCTCATGAGTTTGACCTAAAGGACAATTTAACTGCCAAATGACAGGTTTGTTTGCGATAAAATCTTCGAGAATAATACTCGGGTCTAGAGTACAGGTCAAGGTTAATGGTAAAAGAGCATGTCTGATTATTCCTTACCTATTTGTGATCCCTTTTTAATGAGTAAGGCCATGTAGAACTTGCACTTTGCAGTAGAATTAATCTTTTTCTAATGATCTTCTTATTCTTCCAATATTAAAAATCCCACATTTTGGTCAGAATCCAACCTGCTTGAATCTTAGGCTTCATTCACATGGAAAGTCTATTTTCTAAATTCTATTTTCTATTCGCGGTATGTTTTGTGATCATGGTCTGTGCCCTGAATATCCCGCGGCGTGATTACTGGCAGCGCAAGCCAGTTACTTATACAAAGCTGTAATTAATTCTCGGCTGTGCTCGGAGGAGATTCTGATACCTTGACGCACTAAACATACTGCGAATAGAAAATAGAATTTAGAAAATAGACTTTCCATGTGAATGAAGCCTTATTTACTTAAAGGCCTGTCAAAAACACATTTTTACATCAAATGTCCTAATTTTGTAATCACTCATTGATTGTTCACAATGACAACCACAAGGGTGTGACTATTAACTGTGCAAAGACAGCTGCAAAGTTTTGCTTTGCTATTTTTCATTTTTATCTTTATTTTCAAATGTTCAATGAAGGTACACTTTAGCCATATTGTTGATACTTCATGATGGCTACAGTGATGGCTATCCCTGTTCCTCCTCTATTTAAATGGAAATGAATTTTTGTGCCATCTCAAATTATAATGAAAACAACACTCAGGTAGACTTGATTCCTGTTTCTCTTTAACTACATCTCTGTTTGTTTATGAAGTGGAGTTTAAAAACCCTGTAGCCAAATAATTCAAATTAACATAACTGGATCCAATATAAGACCAAGTAATAATCTTAATCGTTTGGTATGAATTCTGCTTGCTTGAATCCCATTTACTCGGATGCCTGCCAAAGTAATACCTTTACAAATTAAAAAAAATGTCCAAACTGTTCTCACTAAGCCAGAGGGCTCAGTGACCATTTTGTCTGACCAGTTCATAGAGGTGTGACTGTGAACTTGTCAAAACTGACCACTGCAATAGTAGAGGGGAGTTGTCTGCAATTATCCATACATCATGTACAGTATTAGGAAAGGAATGGCAAGTTGACAAGCCGGTCTTCCCATTTTGATTGCTGTCCTACCTCAGGCAAAGGTAAAAACATTATTAGGGACTCTATAGGTGAAGTTGTGTTGTCTATTACAGCCCCTAGTATGAATTTATATGAATATTAGTAACAGTAAGTATCAGAATATGTGCATATAATCATGTCCTTTTAAACATTTGTGTTTAGTTGTATGTATAAACTTTGCATATGGAAATGGTCAGATTATGGAAAATTTGTCACAAATTGTGCACAGTTCTGTTTGAATGGTACCAAAATAAACACAAAGAGGGACTCAATATCAGATATTGATATTATATACGCATGCCCTCTGCAGTATATTGTATTGCACAAAGCTACAGCAGTTCTGTCAGGCATTTTATGAATAGCAAATACCTGGCATATTTCGATTAAAAGGACTTGGGATATTTTTATTCATTAAACCCCAATTGCTCTTTTGACAGTGGTTATTTGCTGACCCCAAAAGCACATCAGGTGCGCCAGCCATGTGTGCGTATGTAATACTGGTTTAATGTGTTTTATCATCTAGACATTTTCACTGAGATATGGGTGAAGTTTAGGTGAGTGTTTTTATATATTATGTCAAGTTATAGCAGATCTAGTGCTTTAAGGTACTGATAAGGAGTAAAGCTACAAAACAAGAGAGTTCTGGTATAACTTTTATTTTCCAAGATTTGTTATACTAGTTTGTGGATCTCACAAGCCCAATATACATATGCAGTGGTAATAATATAAGAACATGTAAGGTCACCACAGAGAGATATTGTCATCTTTTCTTATTTTTTTAATCTCTGGAAGTAAAATTGAAAAAATATACTTATTGACAATGGTGTGCAGATGTTTATTAATTAATGTTATTTTTAACCACACTTAAAACAGTCACAGGTGTAGGTATAGTAAGTATATTGCCTGTGGCAGAAAGGCTCTGGTGAACCTTGCCACCAGCTCAGAGACATAAACAGTTATGGAAATAGACTACCTTTCTGTTATAAATAGATTACCCAGTTAACAGAGGGCTGTTATGTGTACTCAAATGTTTTGTCAATGTGTTGCATACTTTATAGTGTTTTAATTTTTTTCCCTAAAATATGGCAGAGAATGTACCCGCATGATTTTACTCGGTGAACTGTACCCAATGTCTCCGTGCCGCCTCTCTATTTTGACTTAAACTGATATGCATGAGATCAAGGAAGTAAAAAGTGTTTTATTCAAAGAAAGTTTAAAAATTACTTTCTGCAAGACAAGGGTTCAGCCAACATACATATATTTTGTCCTGGTGTATTTGGGGAGTTTCATCTCTAGTCATGTTCAGCATCTCGAGTATTTCTCATTGTCTCCCTTCTAGAGCAAAATATGTAGGAGAAAAATGGGTGCATTTCTGTTACGTCTAATGCAGTGAGAATGACAATATATTAAAAGCAAAGTTATGAATCTCAATTACTCACCAGAGGTTAAGTGGCACCTTCTCTTCGGCTTGCATGACTCAGGGTAATGGAACTTACTGATGTGTACATGTGATTAAATTGTAGTAAAATTGAAACATTTAATTCACCCTGAAAAAAAAAAAGACCTTCAAAGTGGTGACATTTGTGCTACAAAAACTACACTAAAGTTTCATTATAAATCCATTACAGGTTAGAGATCATTATTTGTTGACTTGTCTATAATATATCCACTTTAGTGAAGGTGGTTTAGTTTGGTGTTTTGAAGTTGTTTTTGTAATACGGTACCTGGAGGGAGGGAAGTTAGCAGAGAATCTTGGGGACCATCAGCTGTTCAGCTGTGTGAGGATTTCTAAAAAAAAAGTCACTAAGAATAACAGATTGTTTTAACTGGTAGGTATATAGCCGTATCAGAAAGTATACTTCATCCAGGCCAGTGAATTAAACAGTTTTAAGTATCAGCTGTCTGTGTTTCTCTTCAAGTGCACAGTTTCATAGATATACTTCTGTAACAAAGCTCAGTCAACCATCATTAATATTACAGCACCAATCCATCATGTCAGTGTCTGTTTTCCATCTCTTTTTTTTTTCTTGTACATAAAATGTTCAGCTATCAAACTCTTTTTTTTATCATGCATGTAACTATTATGTTCAGCTAACATTGAGGGTGTGTGGTGCTCTCAGATAGATGGAAGTATATTATGTGGAGTAAAGTGGTACATGTAGCTATTAATGACAAATCCATCTATGCATGTAAATCGTAGGATTAAACACTTATGATGTTTTTTAAATTATTTTATTAAGTCACATCTCAGTGTCTGCTGATGGCACACAACATTACCACTGATTTTTTTCTATAATGCTGCACCATTTCTATTCAGTCCATTAAGATATTTGGCTTCAAGTGTACCACTGCCAACATAACATTATGGAAATTTTTNTGGCTATGGGCCTGCATACACACGATATTTCTCGAAAGGGGGACACCTTGTCCCCTTGTATATGGTAGAATCACAGAGTCTCTGGAGTAACATTTTCTTTGATGCAGGTCTTTAGGATAAACTACTGTATATTGATACTGTCCACAGTTGTTGACAAAATTTTAGTTTAAACATTGACAGCATAATCTAATACTGTTTGTGTGAGAATTCAGAAATGTAAAGTTGTACCAGCTAGTGTATCCATTTTAGGTTCCAACCAACATGTAATCAGAGTTATCTTATTTGTCAGTATTACAAAGAATTTAGATGAAAAGGTATTACCTGCACTTGCATGATTAATTCAGGCTGACAAGATATATCATTGTTTAAGAATTGTGTCATCAAAAATACATGTACAAAGAAAGCAACTAACATATTTGCGGTGTCAGCTTCATTGGATGGTTACAAAATGCCAATGTTAATATTTTATAACTGTACATTTAACTCTGAACTGCATTTGTTCTACTTCAGGTTTGAAGAATGGTCCACCAACATTATTCAAAGAGCTGTTGCTAGCTAATGGCTCAGTACCCCAAACGGATTTCAGCACTCGCAAGGGAAATAGCATAAGCGCAAGCAAATTAGAAACCACCAAACAACTCTCAGCATCAAATTCATTCTCAGGAGAGATGGATGCCCCTAAAATTCCACCAAGGAGGAATTCCAAACGAAGAAGCCAACTTGTGACAGAATTGAATGGAACAAATGGACGGCACTCAGATTTGGAGGTGGATAGAGTTGATTTTTCTCAGCAGCCACGGAGGTTTAATAAATCTAAATCAGAGAGTGACTGTACAAAACGCTTTAATGGACTCCAGCTTTTACCCAGGACTGAGGATGCCCAGAGCAGTAATGGACAAGGAAAAGATTCTGATAACAGGTCTGTATCCCCAGCAAGTTCTGTTCAGTCAAGTACAATACAAGAAGAGGAGGATGAACAGCGACTTGTCGGAAAGGAATCTAAAGTGATCCCTGAGGATCGTTTGGATGGATGTGTAATTCAAAGTGAACTTGAGAACAATCAGGCTGTAAATGTTTCAAAAGAAAATGGTCAAACTGATGGAGACCAGAGACAAATACAGGCAATGGAGAACATACTGCAGGAACAGGTATTTTCTGCCAATGGCTTTGATGACCTGTCATTTAGATGAAGTTGTATTGTGACATGAGGTTTAAATTATTTTGTGTTATGTCAGCATTGATTCAGTATTAACCTATACTATTTCAGTTCTTCTTATGGATTGCATGAAATTCAGTTTTAGAAGTTCAAATTTTAATATTTGAAGGAATAAATTCATGAATGATGAATGAAAATATAGATAAAGAATTCAAGAATGATTAATTTATATATAGATAAAGGTAGATTGCAAAGATAACTTTGTTATTAATTTATATCCATTCATTCAAAATGCCATTATTTCAATCTTTTAGAATGCACAAATGACAATACTTCAGAAGAGAATAGATGAAATAGCAAGGTAAAGAACCACTATAAAACACAAATCAACCATTTTAAAGTTAACCGGAAAGATAAAGCTGTCTCAGACTGGAAGCTATTTTGAAATTCTTCTCTTTCTTGCTTTTTAATATTCAGAGCAGCAATAACTAGGAAGAGGAAAATCTAACAATATTAGCTACAATTTTCCTGTAATGTGATAACACTTGTTTTCCCCTTCTGTCACCAGGCTCCTGGATGATACAAGTTGTGTGCCAGGCAGTAGATATCAAACAGTGAGTAAACCAGGTAAGTTGTATAGATGCCAGAAGAACAGGATCTTGTTTTACAAAATAACAAAAGTGAAAAAAGTTGTACTTTGACCTAACACTCACACACACACACACGCACGCACGCACACACGCACACACTGTTTAACACCAAGATGAAGTAAAACAGACCCAAATGTACTCACTTTAGTGACCTTGTGCTGATCAATGACACTGAAGATTAAATTACTCCTCTTAAATTACTCCTCCAGACATCCAATGTCTGTCTTAGTGGCAATAGGGTGTCTCAGAAATCTGTCCAGTTTCTGATAAAAAATATTCCTGGCCTACTTGTAGCGTATACTTTTCTAGAAAACAGCAAACATTTTATTAAGTTATTTATAACTTAACTTTTTATGTCTAATATAAAGTTGATGGAGACAAAGATATCTCTGCTCTTATTACCCAGTTGTAACTTCTTCTGCACTTCAGAAAATTACAAAACGGAAATAAATGCCATTGCAAAATACCAACTTTTGCATACTTGCAGGTTATAAGTTCATAATCATAGATACATTTGACTTTGATGTATTTCTGTTTGATATTGTAGAAACTTTAAATGTGATTTACATGACTGGAGAGACCAAAGTTCAAAAGACCTTCCTCCTGGACCAGGGGAGATTGAAGTTGGAAGTTCTGCAAAATGCTTTTGACATTGATACAGTTGAATTAGCAATTGGTAAATTGATGCTTTTTTTTTTTTTTTTTTTTTTTTTTTTTGATATAA